GGTCTAGTGTTCACCCCTCCCCCTCTCATCCTGCAGCCAGGGGATGAGAGGTGAGACTTCCACCACCCTGTCCTGTCTCTTCCTCTCTGGCAGCCAGGAGGTGGCGAGATTCACACCTCTCCATGGAGAAGTGTGAACCTCCCACAGGGATGGCCCAGGCTCCAGAGTCTAGATGACACCAGCGCTGGCCTGGCCCTGGTTGTCAAGGCAACCGGGAAGCGTCCCACATGAGCTTAAGAGGCTGGTGCCGGGCGCTCCGGGCGCATTCCGTTGTGCAGTCATCAAAGGATCCCCAGCTACGGCGGGACCTTTGTGACTAGACCCTGTAAGCCCACCCTCACAGAGACCCCACAGGAGGAGATAGACGGCCAGAGACAGCCTGCCTGCCATTGCCAGAGACCCCACAGAAGGGGGGAGAGACTGTCACAGCCTGCCTGACATTGCCAGAGACCCCACAGAAGGGGAGAGACTATCACAGCCTGCCTGCCATTGCCAGAGAAGGGGGAGAGACTATCACAGAAGCCATTGCCAGAGACCCCACTATCACAGCCTACCTGCCATTGCCAGAGACCCCACAGAAGGGGAGGGACTATCACAGCCTCCCTGCCATTGCCAGAGACCCCACAGAAGGGGAGAGATTATCACAGACTGCCTGCCATTCCCAGAGACCACCCACCTGATCCCGACTCCACAGGTACCTGTGTTCCGCTTCTACCCCTGGGAGACCAGGCACCCTGTCGGATCCGTGAGTACCTGCTTCCCCCCCTGTGTTACCTGAACTGTTGCTGTGGTGACCCATCGCACCCCCCTCCTTTGTCGGATTACCCCTGTTACAGGGACACCCCCTTGGCTCTCCTGGTGGACTATAAGTGGATGGGTCCCCCTCGTTACCCTTTTAATGGCAAATTCACCCTCTCTGCCAACCCCCTTATTGAAGGACTGCCGTCTGTTTGTCTCCATAAAGCTTTGTGCGTTTGCCATCCACTCTGTGTGTCCTGTCCTGCCTTTCCTCCGTCACACCCCTACTCCCTCTTCACAAGATTTGAGTGACAACAGCAGGAGCCTATGGCTCCAGCTTCTGTCAGAGACTCCTGTGAATGTGGGTATAGAGGAGCTACTGCTGCACATTGGATTGAGAGAGAACTCAGGTAAGTGTTTAGGGGTGGCTGAGGGGGACACAGGAATTTAAACTTTTTTTACCTTAATGCACAGAATGAATTAACCTTCCCAGTGGTAATCCCGAGTGTGGCTCGGGGTTAATTTACAGTACCAAAAGCGGTAACCCCGAGCCACACTCGGGATTCTCATGCGATCCCCCGATCCTTACCTTGTCCTGCGATCCCATGATGTCCTCCGGCCGATGCCGGCATCCGTCTTCCGGGTTCCATTCCCTGCGAGCGTCAGTACGCAGGGGGGCGGAACCAGTGAGAGATTCAAAAAAGTAAAAATATGACACACACAATACATTGTAATCTGTTAGGATTACATTACTGTATCAAACCATTTCACCTAGATTTTGTCCCTAGTGCTTTGTCCAGTGCCCTGCCTGCACTGTTACCGTTCTTTCTGTCTGGAAACTGAGAAACGTCCATGACATCCAAAAAGCATCCCTTTAGGTCAAAAGCGGTTTTAGACCAGCTAGAAAACAGTGATAGTAAATCAGAACCACTTGCAGAATTGAGTGACAGTGAGTCGTGGGAAAATTCGTCATCAGACACTGAAAACAATTCTGCGACTGAGCTCAGTGATGTGCGAATTTGGCGCTCTATTTTAAATTTCAGTGTTTTTGGTTTGATTACATTATTGAATTAAATTTATTATTATATTATAATTTTTTATAATTATGTATTATATTATAATTTATGGTTTCGTGTTTCAAACTTTATCATACCCGGGATGTTTACTAGACTCTTGTTTGGACAGATTTAAGTAATTTATTCCTAAGAATTACAGGCCTACAATATAAAACAACAAATTTCCATGCGAAACAATGTACCAATTTGACATTCAAACATATTGATTAGTTAAACCACCAGGGAGGTTAAGGTAAAAAAAAGTTTACCTTTAGAACTACTTTAGGCTGTGTTAAAAAATTGGTAGTGACTATAATTATTTATGTAGTCCAGGAGAACAGAGTAAGAAAAGATTTCTCTTCTAACACCTTCTAAACTTCATAACTCATCATATACTCAGCTTTCTTAGTTTATTGTATAATGTAAACAATGTACTATATGTAATACATTGTAATACTGTACATATTACTATAAAATAAAAAGAGATCTCCCGATTGTCCTTTGCATGTCTTTATCCAAGCTATCAAAAGCAGACAAGGGGTCCTCCAGATCAAAGTTCTTAAATGGTCGAAAATTAAAACTGGTTGCCAAATAATATTTAGGCGTTTGTATTGGCTCCTAAATGTTTTTAATAACAAAAAGAGTTCTATACATTAGCTATACAATGAAACTTAACATCCTATTATTTGATGCATGATTATGTGATCCTATGACCTCATGCAGATGATCCCAATACAAACCAGAAGTACTCAAGAGTGTGTGCTAATCCTTATGCATAAAATGCTGATAGTGAGCAATACTTGACATAAGACAGTACTTGTGAAAGGTCAAGATATTCAGGGAGAAAGAAAGCACACAAACAGAAGGAATGGAGGAAGTTTTCTTTACATGGTGGCTCTTGTTTGAAGTTAGGGAATAAGTATCCTGTCATCAATTCCACTTCACTCCAAATTTCACTCCCACCTCCCTCCTAAAAGTAACTCAGACTCTTTCTGAGCCTCTTTATTAGTGATGAACAGATTAAAGTGCTGAACTAAGATTTGATTTATTGAGTGACTAGTGAGTATATGGCAAACGATTCTGCTTAGTCAGTACTTAATATGTTACTAAACCCAGGAGCCTGCATTCACTAGATCTGGTCTCCCACAGTACACAGAACATGGAAATGCAATTGTTTTAGTAAATATAACCTGCTAAATAGCTTTTCTCATCAACAGTCAAAGCAATCGTGTGACTTCTATCAGTGTCCAGCAAAACACATGGTAAAGCTTGTAGGAGGATTTTTCATTCTGCTGTAGGAGGGTGCAGAACCCTTGACCCTCTGTCTGGACAGTGCTGATTGGCTCTGTGCTGATCACATGCACTCTCCCAAGAAAAAAAAACCTCTTTAGCAATACACACCAAACTCAACATGTGCAGAGTGACTCCACATGATATGTCTTATCAGGAGATAAAAGGGGGACACTGGAAAAAGGGGAGGATCAGAGAGGTCAGGATCTAACCTCCTTTTGACACAATGCAGTGGATTAACCCCTTGCACAGTGAGTATAACAAGCATGCTTTACTGCATATTCAGACTGATTTTACTGTTGCGGCTTACTAACACTTTAAGTACTCTCACCAGTGTCCAATGAGGATAGCAGTTAAGCAGAATCCTTTGGGAATCGTTCTTGTATACAAAACAAGCTATCCCTTATACACAACAGAAATATCCCATAGTTTACCCTTAAAACCATATTCAGTGAAATGTTTGCAACATAAATACACAAAACATGTTGCATCCTTACCACTTAAAGACCCAGTCTTTTCTGATTCTTTTTTTTTTACAAGTAAAAATCAGCATTTTTGCTAGAAAATGACTTGCCTTTCCTTCCCCTTGCAGTTTGAAAGGCAGACAACCTATGGCCATAGGTTTTCCCCCTGAAAACTGATGTGGCACCTTTACAGTGCAGGATCACCAGAATACTGTAGGTCAGGAGAGGTGGCGGGAGCTGGTAGTGGTGGCAGCATGGCAGAGTTTAGCCTGCAATGTTGTACATTTGTTACACACTGCATAGTTACTGTTTGCAGGTTGTTAAATAGCCACAAGATGGCAGTGCTCTGTAGTTTAGTTGTCACAGGAACCAGTATAGCAATGCTAAGAATTTGGGGACATGTAGGCTGCAAGCAGGACTTCTTCATTCAGTTTACTTGGAAGAGAACTACGGGAGGGGGCGGAACATAGAAAAAGGAAAGCCCAAGAACCCTTGGGGGAGAGAAGGGAAGACCGATAGAGAGGCAGGATGTGTGGAGAGCTCAATGCTGATCCAGTAGACTACAGTCTGAATCGGATTTGGCTGGAGAGTGGAGAAGGGGATTTCCAGATCGCTGATCATGCTGAGAGGCAAGATAGTCGATCCTGCAGGCAATCAGATCACGTCATTGCCATTGGCACCACTATATCTGCGGGAGGACAGCAAGAAAGGGAGCCCCCCAGCAGCAAGGCAATCGCTTTGCATTGCTACATTAAAGGACTGTGAGAGGGTTTTTAACCCATTCCACACCACCACTTGCCACAAGTTCACTTGTTGCCAGTTACCTAAGTTCAGGATTCTAATAACACAGACTGCCATAGAGATACAGACTCTGTAGCCCAATCAGTGCTGCGGCTGATCTACACTAGCAGCCCGTTGTTGTACTGAACAGTGTATCAGCCTTAATACTTACCACTTGCCGGATAAGCTGGGACTGTAAAAGCATATTACCTTAGACTTACTCTAACCGAAGAAGCAACAAGTCTCCACAAGCCAAGTTTTGCACTTAAAGGGACATACCTCTGCTAAATTCTGCTCCCACCATTCCTCAGATTAGATAACCTCTATAACCTTCTAATGTCTTTAAAGTAAATTCCTGGCTTGTCTTTCATTAAATGGGAATTCTGCTTACACTTCCATTGTGCACAGTGGTGTATTTTGGTTTCGTGCTGCCCTAGGCAAGATTAAAATTAGGCACCCCCCATCTAAATTTGTTCCACCCCTTCCTGTTTAAGACCACACCCCTACCTCTAAACCCAACCCCTTCCTCTTTAGGCTCCACCTCTTCCTATTAGAGCTCCACCTTTGCTTTGTCAGTACATTAAAACTGGATAACGAGTGCATATATTTTGTTGGGACACTGACAACAAAGATGGGGCACTATTCCTCCCACACTGACAACAATGATGCGGCACTATTCCTCCCACACTGACAACAATGATGCAGCATTATTCCCCCCAATGACACCAATGATGGGGCACTATTCCTCCCACACTGACAACAATGATGCAGCATTATTCCCCCCAATGACACCAATGATGGGGCACTCTTGCTCCCACACTAACACCAAAGATGGGGCAATATATCCTCCCACATTGACACCAATGATGGGGTACTATTCCTTCCACACGGACAATAATGATGGGGCACTATTCTGCCCACACTGACAGCAATGATGGGGTAATGTTCCTCCCACTGACACCAATGATGGGGCACTGTTCCTCCCACACTGACAATAATGATGGGGCACTATTCCTCCCACACTGACAACAATGATGGGGCAATGTTCCTCCCACTGACACCAATGATGGGACACTATTCCTCCCACTAACACCATTGATGGGGCGCTATTCCTCCCACACTGACAACAATGATGGGGCACTATTCCAATACTCCCAGCTCCAGCAGAGATGAAGTTTGTAAGCAGCACACATTTTTCACTGAACACAAATGGATGACTGAGCCTGAGCTATGTTTGAGTGGTGGCCACCAATGTAAATGGGTATATGTTTGCACTGACCAGACCACCAACATACAATAAGGCCATGTTAACATTGATGACCCCTCCTCCAGGCCAAGCTCCTTCCCTGTCCCATCCACAGCCAGCATGCCTGCAGCAGCACCCTCTGCTCTGCTCTCCCTGGATCCCAGCCTCACGGCACAGATACTCACCGATCAGCTGTCTTCCTTGTCCAGCCGCTCTCCTCTCCACAGGCTCCAACCACCCCACATGGAAGGAAAATATATTTGAAATATATTTTAAAAATATTCTTCCCAAATATATTTATATATATTTGAAATGCTACAATTTTGGCCATATTATATACAGGGGCGGACTGACAACTCATGGGGCCCCTGGGCAATAGGGGATCATGGGACCCCTGTGTCCTTGCCCAAACTCAAAAAAGCCTATGAAAAAGGTACCAGGGCCCCCTACTGACCCCGGGCCCTCGGGCAGTGCCCGAGTTTCCAAATAGTCAGTCCGCCCCTGATTATACACACACTGTATGTTGAAATGCGTTTTTATTACAAAATATATGAAAAATATTTTTAAAAATAAATTTCAAATATACTGTTTGTCTTTAAAAATACAAATCTACATTTTTGGAATGCATTTACAAATATATGTAAACATATATGTTAAAATGACTAACATTTTTTGCTCCCTCCACTGTTCAGTTCCACTGTCCACTGTTCTATTACCGGCAGATAAAAAAAGCAAGTGTCGCAGCCAAAAACTACCTAAAAAATTATTTTTTTTAATTGACCTGAATCATATTTGGGGGCTGCTGCTGTATTTAAGCAAAGCTAAGTCCTAAACTTATAAAATCAATTATACTTTCAAAAAAATGTGATGCCAGAATAAGGTATTGCTGACACGGTCTGTGAAAATAATACTATTCCACCATATGCCTTAAAGGCATCTTTTAACCTCTTGCCGCCCGCCTGCTGTTTATAAACGGCAGGGCGGTGGCAGTCCAGGGGCGGGTTGCCGTTCCTAAACGGCACTCGCCTTTTCTAGCTGTGCGCGCTCCCTGGGAGCGCGCACCACCGCGATCCGGTGCCTGCTGTGTCCTCCGGACACAGTGAAACACCGATCGTTGGACGGGACCTCTGTACGAGGTCCCGATCATGTGATCACAGATTGGCCAATCAGTGATCACATGCAAAGTAGTAAGCAAGATGTCACTTGTGACATCATTGCTTACTACGTGTGAAATCTGTGAATGATCACAGAGGTCACATGGTACAAGGCTATTCACAACAGCCTTGTACCATGTGACAAGCTGTGACCAATCACAGCTCACTCAGTACTTCTCAATGACTGCAAGAAAGCAGACAGAGAGAAAGAGAAATAATTGCTTTTACATCCTATATGGGTGTAAAAGCAATCAGTGTAAAAAAAAAAAAAAAAAAAACATCTTCATCACCCCCCACAAGTAGTACAGTGTCACCATGGTGACACTGTACTGCTAGGGTGACAGTATGTAAAAAAAAAAAAAAATAAAAAATAATAATATAAAAAAAAAATGTTTAAAAATTATAATTTTTGGTTATAAACTAATTTGGATTTTTTTTTTTACTAAAAAAATAACGGAATAAATTTTGGCCAAGATTTATGATGAAATATTATTTATTTGCAAAATTTCCCAGCAGTGAATAAATACCACCAAAAAAAAAGCTTTTTCTGTCTCAAAAAAATGGTAAAAAATTCATATGGGTACAGTATTGCATGACCACGCAATTGTCATTCAAAGTGTGATAGCGCTGAAAGCTGAAAATTGCCCTGGACAGGAAGGGGGTAAAAGTGTCCGAACAGGAAGTGGTTAAGCAAGCAATTTAAAGTCTCCATGCCACCCTCAAAGTTGCAATAAAAGGAAGACCCTCCCCAAGCTGTACAGTATTTACATTTTTTTTTTTTTGTATATGTTCCCAATGAAAGTACTCAACTCTCCATGCCTTTTTTTGGCATTCCCTTTCCTAATAGCCTTGACAATGGTCAAAACATATTATCAAGATTTGCCCCCTATAGACTTCAGTAGGGTTTGATTTTATGTTTGGAACTTTCAGGCTTAATGAAAGATCCTGTGAACTCCCAACAATCTGAACCCAGGCAAGTTTATTTATCCCTAATTAGCACATACAGTACATATCTGTGAAATTATGTTTGAACAAGCTTTTCCTGTTAAACTCTTTGCCCCTTTTTTAGTTAATCCAGAGCCTTAAATAAGTTCACATAATATAATCATAAAAGACTAGATGGCCTATTTTAAAAAAAATCTTCATTGGCTTGCAATCACCTTTCTGTGCAGTGTTTCCTGGCAGTTGCTTCCAGCATATGTCAGTGAGAATTTCATACTAAAATCCCCATTTCAGTGCCGCGAACAGGCGTGTGAATAGGATCAAGTCCAACAGGTCTCCTTAGAAATCAATAACCAATCACAGATAAAAGAAATGAATTGTCACTTGAAAATAACAAATGTTTAAAAGTTAAAAAAACAGACAAATGTTACTAAGACCTGGGCTTCTCACTGAAGATTGGGAAATCTAGATATTGGGCTAACTGAGGCAGGTATGGTTAGCTTGATGGACAGTCACAGACAAAAAAAAAAAAGACAGAAATTATTGCCTAAATTATTCTACATAAATAAATAAAAAAAATTAAAATAGCTGCTGTGTGAAATAAATGTTAAAGTGATTAAAGTTTCAGGAGTACAAAATAATACAGGAAATATGCACTCAAATAACTGTGCTGAGAGCTCTCCTTCCCACACAGATAGCTTTGGGGGAGAACAACTAAAATATGGGGGGGCATAGCAATCCCTTGGTTGTCACCATTTCTATTCTATGATCACCATCTGCAGTTGCCTGCCCCAGCCAGTGTAACAGTCTGCACACTTTAAAATTTTGCCACACAGTCCCAGAGCCTGCGTAGTATTACAGTGTATGCAATAGGAAGCTGTCACTGGTCAGCATGGCCATGTGACCATGCTGACCAATAAGAATCTCTTCTTTCTTCTGAAATGCCATCCCATAAAAAAAGAAAGCTTAGAAAAGATTCTCATAGGTCAGCTGTGACCGAACAGCTATATACTGTAGATCAATGCATATCTAACAGGCTCTGCAGCTGTTTTCATGTAATCGCACATGGAGCAATTACCTGCTGTTAGGGCCTGGATACAAACAGTCATGAAACGGTGTCAAGTTGTCATTGGCTTGCACAGGCTTCCTGTCTGCAACTGATCACAAACACCTGTCCATATCCACCACAGGAATATGGACTGTCTACAGCCCTGGACTGCCAAGTGAATAAGCCCTCATTTTGTATGGATTGAATTATGGCAGCCTGCCAGCCTATTAATGTTAACAAGCACCAGGTGTTGCTAATTTGTTGAACACTCAATGAAACTAATTTCATAGTGTTTGTTGTAATCTAAAGGATCATTGAGAATGTATTACTTTACTTCAATTTTAGTTTCCGATTGGTTGTCATTGCTTCCCTGTTTGCTCAAGCTCATGTAGAGACTGTCCCTGCACATTGAACAGATTGGAAATCTTGTGGTCCTGCCCTTCTTCTGCCTTCCCTGTTGTACTTTTATATACTTACAGTCAAGTCACCGTGCCTTGTCATTCATAATTCTGTGATGGAGCATGGAAAGGCATGCCAGGTAGGCTCCTGTGCCAGGCAAAAAGCTTGGAAGATACGTTTTTTTTTTCCTCTGATAATTCAGAAATAATACTGAGGTTAGCTGGCTATCATTCAAATATTGTCCTACAGTGTCAGCTCAACACACATGAATACATGTTATATTATAAGCTGCTTTAGGGGCAGGGCCTTCTTTAATATTGATTGGACCATGGGCAAACATTTTCTTGGGCTCCCCCATGAAATTTTTCTCTCCACCTGCTCTGAGACATGCAAAATATAGCAGCTAAACTCAAAATCAGTTTACTGTAGCACATCAGGCAGCAATTGCAATTGTTTGACGGAAGTTACAGCATATCATTACCGCCCACTGACTGGTTGCTAGAGGTTACAACACACATTATGGCTCATTGATTAATTGCTAGAGGTTACTGCACATCATTGCTGCTCACTGATTGGTTGCTAGAGGTTTCTGAACATCCTTACCGGTCACTGATTGGCTGCTAGAGGTTTCTGCACATCATTACTGGTCCCTGGTTGGTTTCTAGAGGTTACTGCACATCATTACTACTCACCCATTGGTTGTTAGAGGTTACTGCACATCCTTACCACTCAGTGATTGGTTGCTGAAGGTTACAGCACATAATCTCCCTGCCTGCACACCATGGACTGAGAAGGTTAGGGGACCCACCAATAGACAGAAAACTCCTAGGACTCATGGGATCAATGGCAGTTCTGGGTGGGAGGGTGTGATCAGTAGCAGTGGTGGGGGGAAGGTTGATCTGATCAGTGGCAGTGCTGGGGGGATGGGATGAGTGACAGTGCTGATGGGGGGATGGAATCAGTGGCAGTGCTTGGGGAGGTGGGATCAATGGCAGTGCTGGATGGGGATGGGAGGTGACATTTTTACACTGACCACCAATGTTAGAGGGGATTAAAACTGATGACCAATGTAAGGGGCATTTACAATGACCACCAGTGTAAGGGCAATTCTGCACTTACCAACAATGTAAAGAGAAATTTATACTGTCCACCAATGTAATGGGGAACTTGCACTGACCATCAATGTAATGAAGAATTTACACTGACATCCAATGTAAATGGGGGATTTTACACCAACAACCAATACATTTGTACACTGGCCACCAATGTAAAGGGGAATTTACACTGACCACCAGCAGAGGTAATGGTGACTGGAACCTCAGGGGGAGAGGGGGGGCATAATATACATGTGAATGCCACACTGCCATCACCATTTACATATGAATACCACACTGCCAGCATTATTTACATATGAATGCCACATTGCCATTGTTATT